CCAATGTGCCAAAATGTAACCCAATGGGCTTTTCTTCAGAATCCCCTTGTTTTGACCGGCTCCCATTTCAAACAATCTTTTACAAATCTCTATAGCTTCTCTTTCCCAGTGCTCTGCAAATGCACTTAAAAAATATGAGATCACCTACACACGAGTGTTATGATATTCTCAGGGGGTTCAGTAAAATAATATCTCTGGGTTCTGCAGATCAACTCCCCTGTTGTTGGATCATAGTTTCGGTTCCATCAAAATTTACACTGTCCTAGTATCCACGGCAGGTTCCACTGTTCAAAAGTTATTATGCACCCATATGTGAGGCTACAAGCCTCTGGTACTGAGTGTAAAGGCCAGGTCTCAAGAGTAGGACTACAGACTTTATTAAAATTATATTTCTGTTATACAGCCACTGGGGCGCAGAGGGAACTCTTAACCCCCCCCCCCCCCCCCCAATAGCAACAGTTTACTTTTGTCTACTCCTCCCCCACCGCTTAAGCACTGTAATCTTTAACACTAACGACAGACATATACGCACACAAAACACTTTGACACAACACAAAACAAAGACGCTTCGTCTGTCTCCGGCCGCTCTCCTCGCGGAGAACACGGAACCGCGGATCAGGACTCCACACTCGCTTCGTAGCTATGCTACGTCTCAGTCACACAGAAACACAAACACACACGGGATCCCACACACCCACACTATAGTTCCGCTTACCCTTCTCCTGCTTCTTAAGGTAGCAGATCCGTCCTGCTTCCCAAAACTTGGGATGCAGCGAAAACCGAGACTCACCCGACCCACCTCCAGGGTCGCTAGCGGCCGCTCTATCGGTCGGCGAGCTCCCTGCTTGCAAGCCCTACCTGCCAAGGGGAACTTCGCTGTGCGCCAGACGTCTCTGCGCGCCTTACCAGCAGCCCCGGGCCACGCGTACGCCTTACAGGCCCCCTAAATTACCTAAATTTCAAGCATACCGTTTCTCCGCAGCCGGCACAGGTTGTTGTCTGTCCCTGCAGTGAGCGGACGAGAAGCGGAGCTCCTCCAGGCAAGCGGCCTGGGGCGCCTAGGATGTCCGCCCGTCAGCCGATCCTGCAGCCGAACAGAGGTCTCCTGGCTGGCTCGCCAAATTGATGCGCGGATTGACTCCACAACTCGTTAAAGTTGTAAAGTAGGTATGTTTTTTATTCAGCGCTGAAACGCATGGGGATAATTCCTCAAAGTCATGCGTGCCCCAGTGTTGTTTCCCTCTACATTTATAAGGTTGCACCATACGCGTATATATATTCATGTCCTATCCCCGCTTCGTATTACAGTGAGCTAGAAGGTCCTTTGCACCTGTGCAGTGCCCCCTCTGGTCATGGGCAGGGGTCTCAAGATGAAGTAAATGAGTCTTCCTCCTGTGGGTAGGGGTCTTCAAGATGAAGTAAATGAGTCTTCCTCTTCTTGAACTTTTCACCTTTTAGTCTTCACGTATGGCCTTAGGGTTTGGTCCCAGCCATCAACCATCTGCTTCTCCCCCTTAACAGGAGATTCAGGGTCTGCTTTTCCCTATCAATAGGTGCTTATCAGTAGAATCAGGTGTCTGCTTTTCCTTGTCAATAGAACCAAGTCTCTGCTTTTCCTTGTCAATAGCTAGTGCTTTTCTTCTGCTTAGTAGGCATGATAGGCACAGACAATACCTTTGCTTAAGCAGTCGAATTCCTCCAACCCCCCTGAGAACACCCAACCCCCCCCCCCCGTACATTGGTCAACCCTCTGCATCAACTTGGTCTTTTCCTTGTCTGTTTTTTGTTGAAATATTTTAGCATACATCAGAGTTGCTTTGCTGGTTTATACCAACACCGGATCTGGCTTTAAACTTCAAAGCTTGCAATAAAGATCTTGCAAATTTACCTTCAGCACCCCAGAATCCCCCCCAAAGACATTAGGATTTCTGTGTTTCAGTTCCCATATTAGCGATGCCATTCGCCAACTTCAATCAAACCTGCGAGTGGATATGTTTATGGACTTCAGGTTAGGCTTGGAGGCAAAGCCCACCTTGCCTCCAGCCTTTAAGAGGCACCTACCTACCAGCAGAAGTCTGCAGGGGAAGAGAAGGGTGGAGTAACTATCCCACCAAACTTATTTTTTTCTAAAACTTATCTAAACAGGTTCAGGCTACTCAAAATTTTATAACCTTTCAAAACCCTAGAAGCCAGCTGTAAAATAAGAGCTCCCCTTGTTTAGTAGCCAGAAAATCAAGGTGTGAAGCTAAGGACAAGCAATAGCAAGAGAGGTAAGAAATGTGCCTCTTCTGCTGCATTTATGTTTAATAAAAGGATGCCTAAAAGCTTCAGCTTTCTGTTATCTTTTACAAAGATTTACCAGAACAAGTGGTACTAAGCCTTTAACGCTCTTGCTTTACATATACAAAAATGCTAATTTTTGTTTCCATTTTCAATCAGCCTTATTTGAATTTTTTTTTATGTTGAATAGCAGTCTTTCGTTTTTGAAGTTATTTTTTCGAGATGCCAAGCAGTACTGATTATCTCAATGGAGTACACTGATTATTTTTCCCTCCTCGTGTTTGCCCTATATAGCCAGTAAGCGTGATATTTGACATGATTTGTTTCTCTTTTCATCTCCAATTTTTTGTGGAAATAATCAGAATTACATTGAAACCAGCATCAGAACTTCATTGCGGCAAATCTCTTGTGCTTGTTCAATCTAATGCAAAATGTACAATGTGGAACTTAAAAGCCTTTATCTGATTTCAGGATCTGTTTATGCAATACTAACTTGATTCCTTTTCTTCTGCCCTGTGGTTGCATGATAGATGATGCTCTGCAACCTCCTAGTTTTGGAGGTGAGTTGCAGGATGTGATGGTCAAGATACCGTTTTTGTATTTCTCTCAAAAATAAGTCGAAAGACAGAAGGTGCTGACAGCTGGTTATCGCTAGCAAAAACGGCCGGGAGGGGGCACAGCAGGGCTTTTGCTCCACGAAGGTGGCGATGCTTCCCTGTGTTGTCTGCCCCGAGGCCGCAAAGATAACTGCCCCAGGAACAAACTGCCCGGAAACAAGGACACAGACACTGAGGCGCCTGCCAGGTCACAACATGAACTAGGTCTGGGGCTCACCAGACCCCCTGTGGATGAGTCTGACCTGTGGGAGGGGTCCAAGAGAGCCTGACCCTGTGAAAAGGCAGCCGTCCTTCAGTTGTGTGGTGCATCCCTCCGCCCTGGATTCCAGCAGACTCTCTGACCACAGGGATCACAAGGACTTGACCACAGCTGAAAACTGAAAGGACTACAATTGAAAGAACTTCGACTCAGACAGAGGAGATGCTGGATCCAAGGGTTGGTGATCCTTTCTGTTTTCTTTCCTTCTTTATTTCCTTTCTTCTTTTCTTCTTCTACTTCATGTCTTTTATGAAAATAAGAACCAGCCAAGAATTTTGTTCGTTCTGGCACAGTTTTAGGGAAGTTTATAATAAAACTAATTGTTGTTTCATTTTTTATCCTCTTGAGAGACTGTGGTTTCTCCTGTCAACCTGTGGAGAGTATTGTAAAGGATCACCTTTTCCCACATCTGCCGAGTGGGATGGGACACAGCCCCTGTAAACAATTTCTCTAATCCTTTGGTGCTGGTACAGGCCTATGGTAGAGCAAGGGCAGTTGACTAGAGGATGGAACTGAGTCACCCTGGATTTACAGTATTCCTTTGCCATATTCTGGGACCAGTGACTGTAGATGTAAGGGGAAGAGTGGCATTATATATAGCCATTCTTTCTTATGTCAACTTTTACAATGGCCTGCCATGATTCTGGTTAGTGTATATCACAATGATCTATTTGAGTGATGGTAACTCATGTTATTCATATCTCGTCATGATGAAACTTGAGTCTTAAAGCCAGGTCTCTAGATCCGTCTGTTATACTACTTGTGAGGTCTGCTAAAACCCAGCAGTTTCCATTCCTGACCAGAACTGCTATTTCTGGCTCAAAAACATCAAAATTCTTTTTATTCTATGACAGCACTCCTGTCCTCTTGTATCCTAAACATGATTTGTTCATGAGGATTAACAAAACTGGTTGGAGCCAGGCTACAGGAGTTTGTGTGGGAAGTATTGTCTCCCACCCAGAAGCCAAAGTAGCACTTCCTACTACATAAGTTAAACAGCTAAGAAGGTTCAGATTTTATTTTAATTTGTTTTTATTTACTGGAGAGAAGAAAAAAAAAAACCAACAAACCCCAAACCAACACCCCCCACCTCCCACCCCCCAAATTAATTGTTCCTGCACTGCACAAAGAGAGTGATTAATCTCTTGCATACAGAAGCATTTGTCTACTACTCCTGCTTGAATTCCTCAAAGGCTAAGAGTGTTTCTAATGGTCATTTAAATAATAAATACCACCACACTCATTAGAGGTATATCACTTGTTCCTTTTCTGCTCTGGTGCTTGTTGTATTCTATTAATATTTATTGAATTCAAGGAAATACATCCTGAGCAGGTGGTCCACATTTCTTTTCAAGGTCATCAAATATAAATATTTTATTTATCTAATTTAGAAAAACGACATTAGTTGTGATGCAGCAGACATGACAAGGGTATGAATTAGTGGAAAGCTTTTCTCAGGAAAATGTATTCAGGTACCAGTAATGGATAACTATCAGTCCAATAGCTTCTCTCTTAGCAGGTAATAAAAATACATAATGGCAATACAAACCCTCACCTGAAAGTGTGCATATGGCAGTAGCAGAGAGTAGTAAAATAGGCTATTTACTATGAGGGCAGTGGAAGGATCCAAATCTCTTTCTGGTACTTGGATCCTTAGTAGGCTTATTAGAGTTTCAGCTTCAAACATTTACATGGATATGCATGTAGACTGTGTAGCAGATTTTACGTAGTCCTTTGGGAATGAATATGCCTAAATCCATTAAATGTTGGATGTTGTGTCTTATGTTGGCTCAGAGGAGCTGGCTAATAATAGTAGCAATCCTGTGAGTGGCCAGAGTAGTTCATTCTAAGTACTGCACAGGGTTTTGTTACCCCTGGCAGTCTACTGTTCCCCTACTTCAAACAGGGCTGCGTTACCTATTGCTGCACATGTGTAGCTCAGAAAGATCCTATTTTGTTCCCACCAGTACAAGATGAAGAGAAGATCCCGCTGAGATGCTGTGTTCTGAATGTTCATGTAGGTTAAGCCTCCCTTGCCTTTTTCTGCTGCATATTCAACTTCTGCACACTTGGAGCCTGTTGTCTTTTTGTTCCCTGGAGGTGTAGAAATTATTCTTCTATGATGATTTCATTCTGAACAAGCACCATCTTTTCTTTATATTCATCCTGCCCTCTCCAAAAAGAAGGCAAGATGACAAGGGCTACATTTTAGAAATTAATAATTGCATTCTCGCAAATGCTTGGCTCTAAGAAAACAATGCTTCAAAAAGGGAAAAGCCAGTAGATTGTGTTTACTTATTTAAAACATTCACCAAGGAACAATTCCCCCAGATTGAGTTTTAAGCTGTCAAGAATCAAAGAAAACAAATGAAGTGGCACTTAATTTAATTGAAAATTATGCTTATGGGGTTTTGTGTCTGCATTCAATTTTTAGCACATGTAGTCTTTTGATATTGCTAAGGTTAAAATTAAAATTATGTATTTATTGCTATTGTCTGGAAATACTGCAGACAAAGTACAGGCTCTAAAGAACTGGTGTTGAATAACTTGTGTCTTTGTAGCAGTTCTATTTTTAAGTAATACACAGTATCTAAGGGAAGATGTTACAGGAGAATTGGCTGTAAAAATGAAAGGTAGTAACTGGAGCTTTGATTTAATTGGTGTGTGACCTCTGCTGCTTCCTGACAGAAGCCTGTCTGATAGAGCCAATGCCAGCCAGCTCCAAGATGGACTCACCACTGGCCGAGCCCATCAGAGATGGTGGTAGCACCTCTGGGATACCATTTTAAGAGGGAAAAAAAAAAGGAAACCTCTGTGCAATTGCAGCTGGAGAGAGGTGTCAGGATATGTGAGCAGAATAAGTCTGCAGACACCAAGGTCAGTGAAGAAGGAGGGAAGAAGTTTCTCCAGGTGCCAGAGCAGAGATTCCCCTGCAACGCATGGTTGGTGTGCGCCACTGTGAGGTAGGCCCATGCAATCCGTGGAGATCCACAGTGCAGCAGATCTCCACCTGTAGCCCTTGAAGGACCACACACAGGAGAGGAAGATGCCTGAAGGAGGCTGTGACCTCATGGGAAACCTATGGTGGAGCAGGCTTCTGGCAGGACCTGTGTCCTCATGGAGAGAGGAGCTCACGCTGGAGCAGGTTTGCTGGCAGGAATTGTGACCCCAGTGGAGGTGAGGAGGTAGAAAAAATCAGGAGTAAAGTTAAGCCTAGGAAGAAAGGAGGATTAGGGGAAAGGTGGTTTTGAGATTTGGTTTTATTTCTCGGTATCCTACTCTGATTTGACTGGTAACAAAATTAAACTAATTTTTCCCCAGGCTGAGTGTGTTAGGTTTGTGATGGTAACTGGTGAATGATCTCTCCCTGTCCTTATCTTGACTCACAAGTTTTTTGAGATATTCTTCTCTCTCCTATCCATCTGAGGAAGGGAAGCGATAGAGTGGATTTGGTAGGACTCTGGTTTCCCACCAAGGTCAACCCACCACACCTATTCTGACCTATAGAACTGGATATTTTACTGCCCCGTCTCACTGTTGACATTACTGGTATTGAGTTCTGATAATATACCACTAATTCACACTCATGAATATACTCAGCAGTAAGGTGTTGATGAGAACAGGCATGAGGAATAAATCACTCCATTTCCCCTCTTGCAAAGCTTGCTTCACTTTGTAGGGAGCAGGTCTGATCTGCTGACTCTTAGTAGAAACCATGTCAGATGGAATCCATGGAATAAAACAGAGGAGAAATAAGGCACCTGTAGAGTCATGGAACAAGCAGATCCCTGATAAGAGAGCTGAGTTGCTAAAGTGTTATAAGCATAGAGGCTCATATGACTACCCCTGAGTAATGGTGATGGATAGGAGGAAACAGGAGCACAAGATGCTAGAGAAGGAGGGGGGAGATTGAGAAAACTGAGGTAGTAGGAGTAATGGAACTAAATGGAAGAAGCAGATATCTCTGGAGCTGCATGTGTAATCAAAACATGAGATCAATGACTGGCTGACCTTTGTCTTGAATAAAATAGATCCCTATGTACAGGGACACAGAGCAGGAAGCATAGAGACACCTGAAGAATAGCAACACTCACCCTAAAATGAAAGGGTGAGTGTGATAGGAAGCTGAAAAACCTGTGTGGCAGAGCAGGACCAGTGAATGTATGACAGGGGTGCAGGGAGAAGGAGTGTTCTGGGGACTACCAGCAGAGCCAGCCAGGATGGCAGAGCAGCAGCAGCTTGTTGAGTGGGTCTGAGCTGGAACTAGCTCTGGAGATGGACCTATTACTGCAAGAGCTTGAGAGTTATGCTGGAGAGGGAGGAGAAGCTTCATGTGTTTGGCAAGCAGCCATAGTAAGGCTCTGAGTTTTGTCACATGGTTGAGCAGAGCAAAAATAATCGTGGTGTCTTCATTGTTGCTCTTCTCTAGAATGATATCAGAAGTTAGGCCTTCTGCATTAATGTATGTATCCTTATGTGATACTCCACATTTTTCCTTTATTTCCTACCAACATAAAAAATGTGTATGGCAAAAATATCCTTAGCAGCAAGCTGAAGAAGTTCTAGCATGACAAGCGCCTAAGTAAATACTGAACAGTTGCTAATTAAAGCCAAGTGCATAGTCTCTCAGTTTTCAATTAACATGATCAATATATAGTGATGCATTAATTATTTTTTCTAAATATGCTTAGAAGAAATCTCTAAGTCTGGAGGTGAACTTTACAATGTAGATTGTTCTTTCTGTTTTCAGTGGTGGGGTGGAGGTAGGTTTAACTGAAATTGAAGAGAGGCTTATGAAAATGTGTCATCGTCTGAAAAACTTCGCTCTCAGATAACTTTAGCTCTTCCTGCCATCTTCTATTTAGCTTCATTTTAATCTCAGATGAGGCTTTTTCAAGCAATCGCTTGTCTCTTAACTAACTTCGGTGACAACTAGTCTGCAAGACTAGCATGGGGACAACTAGTCTACAAGAAAGCACGTCTGCAAGAGTCCTGCCAATTACCCACACAGTGATCCACATTCTCTGCTGTGAGCTGTGGAGATGCTACAACATTTTCTTCAAACCAGCCAGGTGCCCTGCTGTAGCTGTTGCAGAGAAGGCTGAATAGCCCCATCATGAGATCAGTGTTTGATAGATGAGATGAATTGCCCTCTAAAGGCATCTGCTGTCACTTTGGGGGTGAACAAGGTAACTACCTCGAACAGGTCACCTAATAATCAGATACAAAAAGTCAAGTGGAAGTGGGGAGATGCCCATGGCTTACCTGCTGTCTGGTCTCCCAGCTACATAATGATAGCCTGCTGTAAGCCTGTTCCTCTGGCAGCACCTGGAGTGGCCATTTGTACAAAACCTGCTGTTTCAAAAAATATACACCTGCGCAACTTTGGGATAATGTTTAAATCTGTCAGTGCTGGAATCTCAAAAGCACTTAGCATCTGAACTTCTCAGAATGATCTCAAATATTTTTAATCATAAAATGCCATCTTATTGAAAGGTAAAGTTTGGGGACAAAGATCTGTTTTCAAGATGTTGACAACAAAATTAAGAAAAAAAAGGTTTAGATTTAATGTGTTTTCACAGCAGCATGTGCAGACTGAAAAGCTTCTGTCTTCTAGCCTAAAAAATATATAAAAGCATCTGTTTGGTGATTTTGTTTTGATAACTGATCAAATTTAGACCAAGACATATGATGTATTAAACTGACTTGGGCTGACACTGTGCATTTAATTTAGGGTGTGGTTTTGTGGTTTTGCAATTTCAGTATTAGTGTCAAATTGATATAGGGATTTTTTTCCAGATATTTTATTTGCCTAGGCAGGTAAAATAATATTCTATCTGTCTCTACCAAGTGCCAGTCTAAATGGATTCCATTTTAATAAAAGGGTGATTCCTTTCTGAGGCCCAGTAGGAGAAATATTAGGAAAACTCAGAACAGCTTTAAAAAAACCTTCCTATATGCTGCAGTGGGAATCCTACTATATTTAGGGTTTTAATGCCAGGAAGTGTATTTCCCTTTAAAATGAGAGCTATGAAGTTGTCTTCTCTTTGGAAAGACTGAGGAACTGGGGACACATGGCTTGGAGGATCGACACTGCTTTCTACTGGTTAAGAAACATAGGCTGCCACTAAACCATGAAATTCAAACCTCAAATCAAACTAATTGGGCTGACAATTGCTCTAGCAGTTGGCTGCTGATTCTGAAAAATAATCTACCACCTGTTGTTTAGTCTGTAGGATTAGAGACGGTTTAAATGTTTGAGGCAAGAGAAATTTATTGCTCCAGATGGAGCAAAATTTCTTAAAAAAAAAAAAAACAACAAACAACCAAAATCGGGCTCAGATCAGCATTCAGTGCAGTAGTCTCCTACTTTTAAAAATGCAGCTTGGTACAAATCACAGCACTTTTAATAGCAGCCTATGGACAGAGCTTTTTTCCACCTTCAGAAATTGTTTTCTCTATTCAGAAGTCATCACAGATGAGTTTATCGCAGTTCTTGAACAGAAATGCTTGCAATTGTCACTTTTCTCCTGTGTCCATCAGATTTTAATAAGAGGTGATAATTTTATTGTCCCACTGAGAATGTAATCAAAGATGTGTTTGATACACAGGATAAATAGTTGATGGTGATGGAAATGTTTAAATTCAAGGGTTATTTTGTGTTTGCTATTTATAGACCATCTGGAAGCAGGAAAGACTGTCAATGAGACTTTCAGAAATCAGCAGTATGAAATACATGAGAAGACCGGGTAAGGTAAATCTACTAGTTGGACAGATCAGATTATATTGCTGAGAATATTTATGCTCAGCAAAAGCAGACAACACTTTTTTGATATACATATAATTTTTGTCACAGAAGTGTTTTCAGTAAATATTTCCCAGTTTTCAGAGGAGGGGATGGGGGGATACTCTCTGGTAGGGTGAGAAGAGGGGATTTTACTCTGAAACAGGATCTGACGAATTTACACAGAAAGGGAGATGAGGGTTCAATTCCTGCTCTGGCTCAGCCTGGGTTAGGAATTTGAGCTGATTGCATCCCACACTAATTGCCCTAACTAACAGATGTGTGGCTGTTTAATTTGTGGCTGTTTAACTTGGGACAGTTTGGGAAGGCTGGATTTTAATAGCTTGTTGTTAGGGCATTTGGTGGGAGTAGGGGAAACTTGGCCAACATCATGCAGGGTGTATGCTATCACACAAGCCATGTCGGTGTACAGCATGTTGCAGAGGTGACAGTCCTCTGGAGCTAATAACCAGAATGTGCAACAGGAGCCCCAGACACGTGCATTGACTCATCCTTGGAACAGGTTTGGGATATACTGAGCGGAAAGGGGAAGATGGGACACTCTGTATTGGATAGAATTAATCAGGAAACTTGCCCTACTTCTGGTTAGGCTTTGTATTGAGCCTTTTTTCCTGGCTTGTGATTTTAGCTGCTTCTTCCATTTTCCCCTCTGTAGTATTTTATTTCCCTTGGCTTCCGTCATCTTTTCCTTTCTTTTTCCCTCTTTGGCAGTATAAATGTCAGGACTGTTGGATGAAGTAAATTAATTTTCAGAAAGTAAATCTCTGATATGCCCACAGAGCCCTTTTAGGGCAGGTCGTTTATTCCAATTCAGGAGTTTTCTGGAGCATCCCAGGGGGTTCCATGTCTTCCATTTCAGACTCCTAGGGGGTTCCATGTCTTTCAGTCATCCCTGAATTTAGCTATGCAAATGCTGGATATCAGCTGCTCCTTTCATTCAGATCTGGTAACTCTCTCTCCCTGTTTTCCCCAGTCAGGTTCATCCAGCTGAGTATATTTAGGCTGGAAATGCATAGGAGCCCAGATCAGTCTAATCATAGTCATCCTGTTCCTGCTGCCACTATTCCCTGGCCGTGTTGTCTTGGCCTGTGGCACTTAAGAAGTGGATCCATTTAGTCTGCTCTAAAGGCAGGGTTCTCTGGTCAAAGAAATGATTTCTGACTGCTGGATGGTCATACAGGAGAACAAGGGAGTAACCAGAAGAAGGCAAAAACGTTGTTTCCTTTTGCTCAGCCACAGCTTCCTAAGAAAACATAAGGTCGTGCAAACTGAGAACAAACTTAACAGTACTATCATCTGTAATAGGTATATGGAGTGACAACTGGTGGCTTTTGGAAAGATTTGTAGATAGTAGCTTGACCAGTGCAACCTTACAGTGCGTATTATGTACAATTTTAAAACATTGAATTTAAAGGTTTTGTTTTTTCACCACTAATAATTCACATTCCCTTGGCAATAAATGTTCAAAGGAGCCAAGACATGATGAAACCCTTTGGATGCTGTAATTGTCCTTTGTTTTTATTTAGCACAGACATGGTCATTAGTATAGTTGGTTAAGAATCAATAGCTATGTCTAAGCAAAACGATTAAACCAAAGTATTTTTGGTTAGTGAAGTACTTTGGTTTCTTGAAATTTTGTAATGAAAAAGATTTTTTTCTTCCTTTCTGTCCTGCTTGGGTTGCTACTCCTGTTTCTCCAGGTGAACAAATTCAGGCAGGACTGACAGTAGCTCTATGTCTATTATGATGTACTACTATAACGTGTTTGTTGTCTTCTAATGTTTTAATGAGCGTTGATGTTTTGAAGTAAACTATGTCAGTCAACAGCTTGTAAACAGGTTTAACAGATTGGTGATGATACTTGAGAAACTCAGTGGAAAAAGGCATCTTCTAAATATCTTGAAAGATATTTCTGTCTGAAGCACCTTCTGGTGGGCTAGGAAAGGTTACCATTCTCAATGTCTGATCCACCTCGGGTTTATGGTCTAGTAGTCATGGGATAGGATGCCAGTGGGGAAATACAATTACTGTGTTTTTGTTTTAGATGACTTGTGAAGTTTACAGAGGTGGGTCCTACTCTGTTATGCACTCTTTCTGCCAGCTGTTTCTTCAGAAGTGGTTGCATACTCTCCATTAGCAAGGCTGGTAGACCCATATATGTAGGAGCCCCTCAGGCTAGTGCACTGTGAGGTTTATCTTATACTGTGTTTATAACCTATTGCATGGGTCTGTTGCTGGCTGCACCTGGAACATGTGCTAAGAAGACACAAATGTGCAAATTGGGAAAGTAGATCTAAATTTTTTGTTCTGCTCAATCAAAATGGACAGCTATAATTTTAACTATGCTCATTCTCTTCTTAAGCTGAGGTGGATGTATTTATGTTGGCTCCACTTCAGCTTCCACAGAAACAGAACCTTTTCTGGCATCAGAAAAAGATGCAAATTATTTTCATGCAGCAGGTGTTTCAATCAAATATGCTGGGATCAAACTAATGTTTATCAAGTATCCAAATCACAGCTTTATGTACTTGGTGGGCATTGCCCGTAGGGATGTAATGCATCATCAGGTAGAGAAGCTTAAAACTCAGTGAAGGAGAATAACAAATCACAAATCAACAAACTCAATTGTATTAAACATGCTGCCCAGAGAGGCTTTCCTCTGGCAAGGAAATATTCAATGCAAATTTATTATGAATTTTAAAAATAAATCGACTGTAGGTATATCATAGTTTCTTGGTAACATAGAAGCAGTTGGGACCCATAGTTGTTTGGTAACATAAAAGGAGCTCCTTTTCAAATACCTGCTTGTTATATCCTTGGTCCTGGAAACAATAGTTATTGCTGTTTAATCAACCTGAATTTGGTATGACAGAATCTTACCAAATACTTGCTTCTGAGGGGGTTGTTCTTACTCAAATTTGAATAACATCCTATTAAGAATGATGGTGTTTTAAATTAGTAAGGATACTAAAAGAAGTAAAAAGAGACAGGACATCATGAGTTTTCCCAGCAGCTGACATGTTTGGCCTATTATTGTACAGCTGAGTTGATTTGAAAAGACACATGATTTTCAAGGAGTCTTAAATGCAGTGCCAAATAAATTAAATAGATGGGAAAGAGTTTTGCAATGTGTTTTGATTAGTCAAAATCAGAAAACTTTGAGATGTTATCTTTTGAAATTATTAGTGTCCAGGAGGATGCTGGATTATAGATTCCTCATAAGTATAACTTTCATGTGGTTAAACACTGTCAATTAAAGACAAACTGATTGTTATTTTTGCTGCTTTCTGAATGGGTAGGCAGTGTCTAAATAAGGAATACTGCCTTGGTTATTGTTACAGCTAGATGATCTACAGTAGTTGGGAGGGAACTACTGCAGGAATTAAGATACCCTGCAGACTGTGGGAACTTAGTAGTTCCCTCCTCTGGACCCTAAACACATGGGTCCTGGCATCTCAGCCTGGCAGCTCCTAGTTTCTGGCATGGGAAATAATGAATGAATGTAGTATCTCTGGTACCCATATCACGTAACATCAGAAGTTAGTAAAAGTCATGAAGACCACACAGAAACCAACCTAATGTTTCCCACATGATAGTTCTGTGCAATTTTCATATGTTTCATTTCTGGAAGAAAAGTAGTATGTTAGGGACTCTTGGTGGCATTGCTCAAAAGGGATAGATTTGAGGTGGTTCAGACATATAAGATATTGACCATGTTTTGTCCATCCTGTTTTGTAGTTTTCTGTTTTTAGTTTGTTTCCCTTATTTCAGAGATTGAAGCACTGGGATGTTCTCCCCTGGGAGGCTAGGAGTCACTGTTTATACTTTGCACCTCAAATCTCTGCACAGTGAATTAAAGTTAGTAATAAAACTGTTTGCCTCTGCTTTCTGGCTCTGTCACTCCCCACTTTTTCAGAAGGCCTTCTCTAACAGTGAAATACCATAGTTTCTGTCAGTGACAGCTCATAACAAAGCTTGTATCAGAATATCTCTTAATTGAGCATTGTTCAACTCTTTCTTTTCTTTTTAGTTTCTCAGCTCCTTTAATGCTGTCTTAATAGTTTGTTGGTTTTGTTTTTTGTTTTGTTTTTTTTTTTTCTCTCTGAAAACTTCCTTTCAGGGCTTCTTTTCAAATTAACCGGTGTTGAAATGATCATAACATAGCTTCTCTCATCTTTTTTAATTTTTTTTCTCTTTTTTATGCACAAAATTATCTCCAGTGGCATTAAGTTCAGAGATTCACACAGCCTAATGTGCATTCATAAATCTGAGCTGACTTCACTGAAGTATTTGAATTTACAGTCTCTTAACAGAGATCACAGGTTGACCTCAGATACCACAATATTCTCTTTATTGGGAAATTTAGAATTTTCTGGTGCACAGTATTCAATGACACATTGATAGGATTGTCTGAGGATGGAAAGCAAAGGCTTGCATTCCCTTCTCCTCTACATACATCTTATCTGTTTGAATGGTAAATTACAGGGACTGAGATTCAAGGTGATCATGTTAATAACCAGGGTTGAATTCAGAACAACACTTTTGCTGGGAGGATGTTTCTTTCATCTTTCATGTAAAAGTGTTGGCCGTGGTTTGGATTTATTTTGGTCTTTGTTCTTTCAGTACTAGACTTCCTAAGGGCTTGTCTGCGGCTGCAGCACTGCCGAGTGGTTTTTCTCTGTCACAGTCACTTCCCACAATGTCACCCCGCTGACTGCTTGGGAGCAGCACTAATGAAAAGTAAGAACCCAGGCCATTAATACGGATGCACAGAGTGAGGGGTAGTAGTGTGTGAAGTCCTTTAACTTGCACAGAGGTACTCTGGATGGCAGTACTCATCTTGTGCTCAGCTTTTATCATTAGGTTTTTGCTTTTACACTACAGTTTATTAACATGCAAATACTGTCTTTATGTGTCTTGGTCATGGAGGCTTCTAGGTGAGAGTGCTTTCTTTTTACTTGTTAACTTTATCACAAATGGAATTCTGCATCTGCAGAGACTCATCTCTTATTTGTTTGTTTACAATACCAATCACATCCTTGTTTTATCTTGTCTCAGGGTTGTGTGTTTCGTTTGTACTCTTCTATCAATGATAATCAGGGATCTGATCAAATGCAATCTCTTTGTCTTGACTTTGTGGAGCTTGCTGATTAATGTGGGGTGGAAAATAGAATGTAGTTGAGGCTGTTCATTTTGTGAGGTCTGTGTGCACAACCTGATGTGTTAAACTCCACCCCAAATATACTTTCCTTCCATGTCCTGCTGTCCCCTGTTTGTCCATTCATGTCTTTCCAAACTTTGTTTCTGGAGGCCTGCCTAGATAAATGTTGGCCTTCTGGGCAGGACTGAGGAAATCAAGACTGCATTCCTGACTCTGCCAGTGTCCTGCTGAACCCCCTCTGCTATGTTGGCTTGAATGCTGCAATGTTAGTCCCTTCTGCCCCACATCTGTGTCATATTGTTGTATATAAGAGGACCAGATAACACAGGCCAGTGCAGCTGACCCTGGAACCTGCCTTCTGCTGTGACAGCATGCTGCTCCTTTTCTGACCAAGCTGTGGGCTACCTGAAACCCTAGAACAGGCCCTGCTTCTGCACATAGGTAGCCTAGATCTGCAATGACAGGTGTCAAAGGGTCCAGGTAATCCAGGAATACCATGAGCCAGAGATAGCTGGTGGATAGAACATGTCATGTGGCATTTACTGGAGAAATATCCAGACTATTATAAACCACTGCAATGCCCATACTGGGGAGCAAAGGGCAGACTAAGGTCAAGTCTTGTTTTCTTCAGTGTCCTGAACAGAATTTGGTCATAGCCAAATGAAGTGTAGAGCTTGGCTACTACAAAGCAACCTCGTGCATGCTTTGACCATGGTGGAGCAAATGCCCCCTGCATTACATAAACATATCCAGGTCCCATAGCAACAGCATCCATGTCACCAATTCAGTGATAACCATGTTGAAGTAATCTGCGAATATTTAAATTATATACGATTGACTTGTCAGTTTTGTCACATATGTTTATATGCAAACAGATCTCATGACTAGCGCTTCCAAAAGGAATGTGTTAGTGCTGAAGACTCAGCAGCTTTTGCTGGTTGGATCTGACCTGAATATTAATCATGCTTTTCCTTAGATGAGCATTAAATCTTTTCTGCTTCTGGAGACCAACATCAAAATTCAAATATTTAATTTGCTCGTTGACATTTATTAAAATAGCTCCGTGCTTGAATATCAAGTTAAGGCAGCGGTCCTAATTCTGTTAGCCTAGATGACGTTGGAAGTAAATTTAAATCTGATTGAGAAACATTTAATACTCACTAAGAAGAGGAGGAAATGAAAGGTCAGTGGTATAAAATGTTGATATCTTCAAACACAGCAGAGTTTAAGTAAGATTTCTGGCTTTTGAAGTAACTGTGCGAAACCTCATAAACAGTACGATAGGGATATTTCAAAATGTTAGGAGAGGGGTCTTCTAATGCTTCCCAAAACAGGTCTCAGCATCCTAACAAGGCAGATACCTCCTCTTGCTTTGAGATGAAACAGGGAGTTTCACAGATGTTAGCAAACTGCCAAGAAGATGCTTGTGTTTACAGCAAGTCTCTATCCTAAAAACAGCAAGTGCATGAAGAGTTAGTGTCAGCTTGTTTAGGTAACACATGTGCTACAGTCATGTGGACAAAGTGGTCCCCCTGAGAGAACAAAAGTCCCTGGAGGACTTGTCCCTAGGTCTGTTGCTTTCCTTTTGCTGCTGTATTGAGTGAGAAGCCACAGCAAGCAAGCCAAAAGAAGAAAGATTAAGCTTGTATTGCTACATATTTAAGGCATTTTGAGCACAGACTCTTGAAGGTTACATACCCTGTTTTCAAATACAAAGGCAAAAAAAGACTACTCAGTTTTTCCCAAATGGTTTTCCTGGCCTGGGTCTGGGGACATTTGCTGTAAGAAGGTGCTGTTTCCAGGAGCTGTGAAGAAAGAAGCATCACACAAGTTTCTGTTTTTAAACTGATCTTAAATAATAAATGAACAGATTTTCTTGCATCTCTTTGAGGGTGGGTGTGATGTCTTGGTCCTGTGTGCATAGGAGAAGTGCTCATTTTATTGATGAGCTCAGAATGCAGCTGCTAGTGATCTTTAGATCAGGCACATGTAAAAGAAGAGATAAACATAATAGCTAACGATACACAGTAAAAGCAAGCCTTTAAAAGTAGTTCAGGCTCCTGCTTATGTCCTGTTTCTTTGTAATTTCTCCAGCCATGTCCAGGCTTAGATTTACCCAGTCTTTCTGCATCCAAATATTGCATTCCTGAAGGATTGGCACAGCTACGAGCAAATGCTGTTTGTATATGATCTAACAGAGATACAGAGCTGAAAGACCTAACATTTCTGCCAGCTGGGTCTAAACCTTCTCACTATCTGTCTGTGCAGCTGTATGTACATGCCAGACTGGTTAGGGAAGGAGATTTGCTCATTTTGATGGTGCATTGTTATACGTTTTATCAGCTCTAGCAAGAGAAGGAAAATTTACTAGAACTGAGCATTTTTATGAACACTGTGCAAAATCTTGGCATCACATTTTGGTTTTCCTCCGTTGTTTATTAAACTCATGATTGTGACCAACCCCTTTGCCTTTGGGACAACATTAAAGATGTAGGCTTAAACATGAGCTAAATCCTTTTTATAAACTACATGAGAATCACAGGCCGTGGATAGCATGGTTTATGTTTATTGAAAAAAACTGTTAAGGGTGTAGTTGCTGCCCTTCCATAACTTGTCTGCTTTGGCAGGGAGTGGGAAGCCCACAGCTGTGTCTAACTACCTGTCTATTCCTGCCATTAACTGTAATATACATATGTGACCAGCTTGCCCTTAGATTGCAAGGTAAGCAATCTTCAAAATAGGGCAGATATTGACAGACCTTTGTTAAAACGCTTGGGTCCTTTTTAACTTTTCAGATCAACTTTCAGGGAGAGATGAAGAGGGTACATTAAAGTAAGGTTTTAAATGTTTCTTAGTTCCCAGGTGGGTAGGGTAGGCATTGGATACTCATCTGGCCTTTTTATTCTCAGGTGCTTAGTATAGGACATGGGTCTCTGCCATTGGCCTAGCATATGCCATTCAGAATATCTTCCATGTTATCATCTCAATGCCCAGATGGGACCTGTTGCCTGCAAACTCAAGTGAGTCATCCTAGCTGACTAGATCTACTGTTTTGCATACACCTCAATGGCTGCAAAAAGATCTTTGTGTTTGGGAGGAGAAATTGATTTGCATAAGCTTCATTTTTATTCATGCCATAGCTGTACTCTGCCAATTATGCTATAAATAAACTGATGTGTAGGCAGGTAATGTATAGTATATTCATGCCAGTCCCCTCTGTAGTGAGAACCATGTAGATACAGACAGTGTCAGAGCACTTCAGGAATTACAGTTTCTTTCACAAGCTGCTCAGGGAAAAATAATTGACATACCTGCATGCCTTCAGCACTCTGAATATACAGCAGGAGAGTAGATTTCATGGCTTTAAAGCCACATGCTGTGTTTTGGAAACTCATCACTGTCTCTTCAATCTTTGCAAATGAGTACAAGCAAGGACCTGATATACTGTTTTACCAGCAGCCAGTTGTCATATATGAGCATGTCAGACTACTCTATTTGGGTTTCTTAAACATCTGCTTTCAACCTACACAGCCCCCAAAAAATTAAATCAAACCTAAGTAAGTTTGCTGCACAGATAAATTCTATTTGACTCCAAGGATAAAGGGGATATAATTCTCAGACCCACCTCTTCCAGTGAGGAGTCTGGAGGAAAAGATTTATAAATAAAGGTTGTATATAAGTGGCTGAAGGGATATATGGAAGTACAGAAATGGGTGAGATGCTACGGAAAATTTTATTATATACCCACTCATGCTTCCATGCTAGTCTACAACCCATATTTCGAATGCTACCTGTAATTAAAGAGTAATTTTTAAAAACACTCTGAAGTCAAATAGGATTTTTCAGTAGAATTTACATTCCTCAATGATTTCTACAAATGGATCTTAAGCTCCTAAAACAGGTAGGTGGTTTGGAAAATTTTACCCTGTAGGTCTTATTATTGACACTTCTTTTGAGTTGCTGGCAACAAGATTCTTGTTCCTTCTTCATGGCTTAGACCTACGCACTGCTGGGAACCTGAACAGAGCAGCTGTGTTTCCTGGAGCAGCAATGCTTGGTGACACATTTTAACTTAGGGAAAGTAATGTCACATGGAAAGTGAAGGGGCAAAAAATACTTAAGGAACTGGTTTGAGATAGTGAAGGTAACTTACTGTACAGATCATCCATTCCTGTATTAGTGGAAGATACCCCTTTGGAGGCTTTTTACAGCCTGTGAGGAGGTCAAAGCCAATATGGGGACACACCTGTATGCAGTCCTGACAAGGAACTAGGGGCAGAGGACTATTTCCTCTGGTGTCCTTAAACTCTTTCCTAATCCTTCCAAGGTGGTCTCCAAGACTGGATCTCTATCAGAGGCTAGCTGCCTCTCTTTAATTTTTCTCCCACTTATTCCATATCTTATTTGCTGTGCTAATGCACCTACCTTTTTTTTCTGTTTCTGTTTTAATGTCTTGAGTTTTATCCCATCCCACTCGCTCAGGACTTTCTTCCCCCAGTCCTAAATCCAATTGAAAAAAAATAAAAAAGGCAATCCTGTAATCAATGAATCTTCTTGCTTGACTGACTCTGTTCAGGCACTTTTTTCTTTTCCATAAGAGAAAACTGACAGTTATCATTTGCAAGGTGCATGACTTATTTTTCCTATTGCTCACTTCAAGTATATTTTGCTGTTCTGGAACGGCAAATAGTTTTTCACTTTCAAAGTTTCTGTGTTCTAAGTCATAAAAAAATTGAAGGTTTCATATTGTAACAGCAATGAAAAGGTATGACTGAAGAATAAAAATTCCACTAGAAGTTAATGTGTGCGTGCTTGTACATTTGTGTATCTATTAATAGATGGAAAAGGGCAGATAGGTTGTTTTGCAGGAGGAGATGGTTGTTCTTTAGTTCTGATTTTTTTTAAGCTTCCAGGGGAATTTTTCCAGGGGAGAGACTCAGATAATTACATGGTAAGGCAATTTCTTCAATAATTTTAAAATCTCCTAATCCAGTTGGAAAAGGAGATATTTAAAGTCATTGTGCTCCTATGTGATTAATGAGAATTGGTGGCTGGAAGAGGTGAGTGGTGCAGATCAGTGCCCTTGCTGAGGGTAGGACACCAAATATAGCCCTGAGAAACCATTAGGGAATAGCTAGATCAGGGTCTGGGTTCCTTGTACTGGACAGTATAATCTGCATGAGTTTTGCTTTACATTAGGTATAGTGTATGATAGCTTATTCCAGGCAACATTGTCCAAGAGTAAAAGAGGTCTGGGGAAGGTGCAAATATAGTATCATGGAAATCCATCATATGGGTGCAGGATGCCCACCTTCAATGGTTTCACTGCTCACTGGACAGCTGTTTGTGGGTTTTTTTCCATGCAACTTCCACAAACACCAGATTATTCCAATACTGTGTAACACTGCTGAAAGGTATTAATGGGATTCACTCACAGGAGGGTTGGCCTGTGGCTTTAACATTTCTTACCAGTTAAAGTGTAGGTTATAGGATTAAGTATACTGTACACTGACTGGACTGAAACCAACTATGGAGTACAGCCCTTTATTTCTCAAAATAATTCACCAGGACTTCTTGGATATCCTAGAATAAAGTTGGAAATACTAAACATGGAGGCAGAAGGTGACATCTTTTAGGAGAGGTACACATCTTTGCATAGAAAAGCAAAGTAACAGTTGGTGATATTGCTAAGTGGAGTTCTAATACTAAGTTGCCTGTCATTAGAAAGGTTATCATGGAGGAGATGCACTTTTCTTGAGCTCCAAGAGAAACTAATCACTCCAGTTTCTCTTAAGAATTTCAGAAGGTGCTACAAGAGGCACCAGCTTCTCTCCATTGGTACAATGACAAGCCTGATGCCCACTCCTGAGAAATTTTCTCTTCCACTGGAAAGAAATTCCACCAGTCATAAGTGAAACTTAGTGGATGTGGGATTTAGCCAGTGTAACCCCATTAAAAGTTTTGGTGAGGTTTCATTTATGCTTCTGAGGACTGTATATTTTATCTGTAACTACAAAACAACATCCAAACATTTTCTACAAAATTCCTACAAAACATTTCCTACAAAATGTTTGGCTGTTGAAGTATGGTTTGGGATAGTGACATGTTCTATGTAGCTTAGCTTGCTACTTCTCATACTCGGTGAAGTAGTAACCTGCTTTAGACTCCTTGGTACAGTTTTTCATTACTGTTGAAAGCAAGTGTGCCACTACCTTCAAATCTCATTTATTCTGTTTTATGAAATGCTAGGTCTACTCCTAGAAACATTGATAATGTATACAGCTTGAAATGTCAATATTCAAATACTGACAACACCTGGTACATGAGAACCTATTTAAGTTGATAAGGCAAAGCTAAATGAATCAGATTATGTGTTTCCTAAGCGTACTGAATAAAATGGTGTATAACTCTTATGCCCGCATTACTCTTGATGGAAATGTCTGAGAAGATGCTTTAGTTCCCACTTGAAAGTACTAGAATTTACATTAAAAAGCATAGAATTCTTAAGAAGGATATCACCAGTTAGCTAATTGTCCTGCTGGATATTTAGTTTGCCAACACCTTCTTGGCAGAGCTCAGCATAGAAAAAATGCTGAAGATAGAATGAGAAGTTCACTATATGGGATTTCTTTTTTTCTGGAAAACCAGAATGGGAACTGATAGACCTTATACTGATCACTGCGGCTGCAGAGAACCTCAGTCTGACGGACAGTACTTCTTGTGCACTTTGCTTGACTTAAGAGAAATGTGTTAATGAATCATCAACAAAACTTCTTTAGCCCTAGGACATTTGCCAAAGACTTCACAGGCACATCTGCTTTTGCTGAGGCATTCTGCTCTTGTGAGACCTCACCTGGAGTACTGTGTGCAGTTCTGGTGTCCTCAACATAAAAAGGACATGGAACTGTTGGAACAAGTCCAGAGGAGGGCCACGAGGATGATCAGGGGACTGGAACACCCACCTCTGTATGAAGATAGGCTGAGAAAGTTGGGGCTGTTCAGCCTGGAGAAGAGAAGGCTGCATGGAGACCTCATAGCAGCCTTCCAGTGTCTGAAGGGGGCCTATAGGGATGCTGGGGAGGGACTCTTCATTAGGGACTGTAGTGATAGGACAAGGGGTAATGGGTTAAAACTTAAACAGGGGAAGTTTAGATTGGATATAAGGAGGAAATTCTTTCCTGTTAGGGTGGTGAGGCACTGGAATGGGTTGCCCAGCAAGGTTGTGAATGCTCCATCCCTGGCAGTGTTCAAGGCCAGGTTGGACGAGGCCTTGGGTGATATGGTTTAGAGCGTGGTGTTCCTGCCCATGGCAGGGGGATTGGAACTTGATGATCTTAAGGTCCTTTCCAACCCTAACTGTTCTATGATTCTATGATTCTATCAGAGCTCAGGGAGTAGCACTGCAGGGCCTGAACCTTAGTGCTTGTGTTGCTCCAGGCTTCCTTTTATTTAAGAACAGCAGCTCTTTATGATTTGCTAGTATTAGGTAAGCGTGTTATAAATCTGTAATTTTAGTTGTTCTGGAGAGTTTCTCCAGTGGTTTTGGACAGTTTAACTGGAAAAGTGCATTGCACGGGAAGACTGGAAAAATACAACATAAGGAGAATGGAATGGAAGTTGGGGCAGTTGGTGTGAAAGAGATTTCACAGGCTTTTTATACTGCATGGCATGGAAGATTCTTCTGAGCTATCTTTTCTCTGGAAGACATTTTATGTGGTTCAAAAAAAAAAGCCATCCCCTTACATGGCATGTGACCCTGCATGCTGACATACATGTTCTTTCTAGTGTGCCTTCCTCTGAGAGTAATATGCCTCCTTCATGTGATCCTACCACACAGGCTGCACTTTGCGTTCTGAGTCTGACTGCACCTTGAATTCTACCTGATCAAACCAGGCTTTCTCTGGAGACTTTTCAATCATTTCACATCTCATTTAAGGTTTAGCAAGATACAGAAGCCTTACCAGCTTAAAATAATCCTATTAGTCTCAATGGGCTTGCTCAGATACTTCAAGCTGGAAGGCGCTTTGCTAGATTCTAGAACACAGCATGAGGAAGATGCAGCTTTTGTTCCTTTTGATTCTTTAGAAAACTCACCCTGACTCTGAGGAAAACTTCAATCAGGCAACATTTCTAGGAACATTAAGAGAAATTTCAATTAATAAACATGCACATCATAGGGCGCCATTGCTTAGGAT